GCAGACCCCACCAGTAATAGAGCTCACACTGTCCGCTCCTCACAGCAGCGAGCCCCGCAACGTCCCGCCAACACGGCACCCAGACCCCTCGCAGCATCCTCATCTGTTTGTCATTACTGGTGTCATTTTCTGGTTGCTAACAAACGCCATTGTAACACATAATCACTGATGTTCCGCTGTAACGGTGGTGGACTCATCAGAACAGAGTGGGCGAGCTGACCAATCAGAGCACACTGGGCTCACAGGGAGGGGGCAGGAGCTCCAACAAGCCGTTTAGGACAGAGAGTGAATACACATACTATACAGAGATGCTGTGAGAAACCAATGTGAGTTTGAAACATTGAACAATTTAAATGTATTCTAGTAGACCTCAACAATGGAATTATGATCAGTAGAAATGGCCATGACATGGGACCTTTAACAGTAACTTAGCACCAGTTTAAAATTCCGATTTCCAGCCAAAATCTTTTATCTTGCTCCAATAAAGTGGCATTGTGCAGCTTGCTTTCTACAGTATAATACAGACATATATCACATGTGGAGTCATATATGTTACAGAATACATCCTGACCACAACCGATGGTGATGCTGAGTAAGAAACCTGAACCTTTAGGGGTCAGATTAACAATGCTTTTAGTGTCAAGTTAATACAAAACAGAGTTCCCGACCCGTATTCACAAAATAGACTTGTAGGTGTGTATTCTCTCTGACTTACCAGTGGTTGAACTGAAGGGGTTGATGACTTCTGCCTCTGGGAAGGGGCTGCTGTCTTTGGGGGTCTGGAAGGGGTCTCCCTGGTTCTGGTTCTGACTGGGAGGGCTGCGGAAATCAAAGGATGTCTGACTCTGCAGGCCTCCATCACTGAGACCTGGGAAACAAACATAAGCACATAGAAAATAAGAAAATATTGTCACACAGAGACTTGGTGGCGTTCTGCACTCCTGGAATATTTGTATATGTAATGTATTTATATGTGTGGTGTGTTGACACTGCAATGACTGCTAAGAGCCACTAAGGGGCACAAAGACTAACAGAGGGTAGGTCAATAAATGAATGGAGAGCTTTTGGATCATAATACTATTTTGTAAACACATTTTCTTTTCTTTTTCAAACACTTAAAGGTCATTTGACAATTTAAATGTAAACACAACAGGTCAGCAAAATGGATCAAGGCCATTTCCATATATCATACTGCATGATTACTACAAATAGTAATATATTGTACCATGCCTATGTGCACGCAGTGTATTATGTTCCCCTCCTCTCCCTGCCAGGTTATAAACGTACCTCTGTTAGGGGTGCCGGGGGGCTCTCGCTTCACATTTACGTTGCGGGGAGTGCTTTTCTCTCCGGGCAGCAGCTGAGTGGGGGACTGCAGTCTGATCTGTGGGGAGGGGGAGTGGAGCTGGGGGGACGGAGACTTCAACTGGGATTGGGACAGAGGGGACTGGAGCTGAGGGGCCGGAGAGTGGAGAAGAGGGGTCGGAGAGTGGAGAAGAGGGGCCGGAGAGTGGAGAAGAGGGGCCGGAGAGTGGAGAAGAGGGGCCGGAGAGTGGAGCTGGGGGGCCGGAGAGTGGAGAAGAGGGGCTGGAGAGTGGAGCTGGGGGCCCGGAGAGTGGAGTTTGGGGGCCGGAGAGTGCAGTTTGTGGCCTCCTCCAGGGGGGGCTGGATCCTCACTGCCCTGTTTGGCCCCTCTAAGGCCAGGCAGCAGCTGAGAGAGAGGGTCCACATCAACAGGACCTACAGACATCTGAGGGCGGGAAACACAGAGATTCAAGATTCAAGGCTTTTATTGTCATTCGTACATAGCTACAGTGTAGATATATCAATGAAAATCTTAGATCCCAGCAGCGTTTCCGCCAGGCGGGCGTCTTGCCGTCCTTCGACGCCCTTATTCAGCTCGGAACGCCCTGAACTCGAGCCGAGGGCGTCCAAAAAAAATAATAGCTTAAAATGACGAAAAGGAAAAAGGACAAGGACATCCCTCTGTTGGAGGGGCAAAGGAGTCTGGTGGCATTATTTTCGCCGCCAGCAAAGCTTGTTCCTGTGACGGAACAAAGTGTACTGCCGGCGAGCCTTGGCGTTGGCTCTCAGCCCGAGCCCCATGCGTCGCCTAGAGAGCATCCCAGCCCATCCAGAGCCTACGGCATCCAACAATGTCACTTTGACACCCGTAAGCCACGAAGAGAAACCGGTCAACCACAACAAAAATAAATTTGCTGGGACCTGGAAAATGAAGTTCCCGTGGTTGTGCTATAACAAAAACAGTGAGTGGAGGGGTGTCCAGTGATTTGATACTAGGTAAATGATGTATCATGTATTGACAAACGTTACTATTGTCTATTGTGTGTGTGTGTGTGTGTGTGTGTGTGTGTGCATACGTAAAGAGATAGTATGTGTATAAAAGGGACGGCTCAATTAAAAGTTCAAGTCACGTGACACGACGTGAGAAATTGAGGACAGTGAATTATAATAACATATGGCAGATACTGTATTCAAAGTGGAGAGTTGAGCAGATTTAAAAAGTGTGCAGCATATTCAAAGGGTTGTGCAGGATTTACATTTAAAAAAGGACAAGATATTGTTCGCATGATGTGCATTAATGTAATGAATAGAATAGAAAATAGTTAGTTGTTACTGTACAACAAGATTTGGAGTGCAATCCTGTCAAGAGTGCGCAATAAACGAATACAGACAATAAAATCACGCCAGTAGGACAGACGAACATAAACAACACTACAGGGGGGATAAATAGCTAAGATTAATGGCGCTTAAAGTGCATTAAAATGTTTATAAATTGCATATGAGTTAAGTAATTAAAAGAGTATTGCACTGTAGGTTTAACAGCCCATTGTTTTTTGAAGAGAGAAAAAAAAATAGAGATGAGGAAAAACACAGGATGGAAGAATGGAGGGTGTGAAATAATTAAAGAATAACGTGTGGGAGAGGAAAAAACAGGAGGGCCGGGGGGGAGATGACCGGTGACAGAGAGAGACAAAAGGTCAAAGGTCAGCGAACTTCAAAGGCTGCCTACAGTGGAAGCAAAGTCCAAGAAAATAAACATTCAACATGATTTACAATGGCTGTCAGGACTCTGCCAGTGCAGGAGCAAAGCTCGATAGAGGACATTTCCAGTGCTCGGTGGTGAAGCCCCTTTTGCTCACCGAGCGCTGTGTTAACGGCAGCTCGGAAGGAGGAAACGCATTAAATCAGCAGTCGTTTCAGCTATGATTTGGGTGTTTGAGTGTCTGACGGGTTCCTGTTGGAAAGAGTCTGATGTGGTTTAAAACAGTTTGGTTTGACACTTATGGCGCATTCCCACTGCAGAGCGTAGCACGGTTTAAGCTAGTTCCGGCTCAGGGCTACCTTTTCACAGTTTTTCTGGCCCTCCAAAATCGTGGTTCTTTCCGGCTTGATTATGCTAAACTAGTGACGTGAGTGGCTACACAACTACAACACAATGAACATATTTGACCGTGATTTAATTGTAATCCACGTTTCTAAATGATGCTGAAGTAACAACATACTGATACCGGTTAGTAAAAACCATGAATTAATGCTTTGACAAGTCTGCAGACAGACGGCAGGCGAAGAACCTTTTAAAATGTGTGTTTTCTAAATGGAGATCGGCTAAGCTAACGTTATATATGCTCCGACCGTCCACACTCACAACAACGGCCTACAGACATAAATAAACCAGCGACTGTATTCGCCATGACACAGGCAGTCTGTGGTTTGTACTTGTTTAACTTTTGTCTAGTTTCTGAACAGATATGAGGAGCTGTGAGCTCTGAGTGCTAACAGCTAACGGCTGATGTTGGTTTTGTGGTTCGCATTGAAGATGACGTCACGGCTCTGCCTACACTGCGTTACTATAGTTACTGCACCAGTTCCTAAACTGTAATGAAACGCAGCATAAAGTGAGCCGGGCCTACCAAGGCCTAACTATACCGTACTAAGCCGTGCGAGGCCCTGCAGTAGAAATGCGCCATAAGATACAGTGCAAGTCCTGCTGATCTGGCTTAATTAGTACAACACTGCTGTCACAAGCTAATTGCTTGTGATGTTGGTTTGTAAGAGGATTTGGTTTCAAAGTCAAAAACCACCTTTTTGGCATTATTTTGGATTCAAACCCAATGCTCATAGGGAATATATAACCGTATTATGGCAGTCTGTAAAGTGTCTGATAAAGCAGGGGGTAAAAGGGTATCCCATTCTGACATTTAGCCGGATCGATGTTATTTTCTAAGATGACGATCAATAAAGACCCTATACACAACCACAGGTGTTTTCAGTTATACGTGTTGATTAGCTCTCTGTTTAGGATTAAAGGGATTGAAAGTAGAGTTCAGCAGGTGTCAATGAAATTATCATATTAGTTTTCCAATTATTTTCCATATTGAAGTAGCATAATGGTTTTTAAAATGCAAGAACAATGCAAAAGAAATGTCCTCCCCAGTTAATCAAATTCCAAGGCTCTGTTTTTATTCATATTTTAGAGCATTTTCTGCATGAAAAAATTATTAAACTCCTAGGAAAATATAGTGGAAAAGTGTTTAAAATGGTGAAAGCATTTCTAGATGACCTCAAACACATTTAACTTCTGTATAGAAATCTGCTGACAAAGAAAATACCAATTTAAAGGGAAAACCTAATAGAGCTTTTACCGTTTTAGTTTACTCACTTTTCTCTATTCTTAACACAAGAACATTGAACCAGGATTAATGCTGGAGGTCAAATCTTTGTTTCTGTTTAGAGTTATTACAAAACACCATGACTTTGGCAGCATCTGTACCGTGGAGTCTCTGCTGTCTCTGCGGCTCTCTCTGCGGCTCTCTCCCACAGGACTGGATATGGGGCTGATGCAGATTCCTGGAGCTTTAGACGTTCCTCCTGATGCTGCAGAAACACAGGATCCTCCGTCCACGCTGGCTCTCTTCTCCACCTTCACCCTCACCGTCTGCAGGCTGAGAGCTGATGGAGGAGGCAGGTCACCCAAGTCCTTAAAAAACAGATTAACTATTAGTATCTTGAAGGTAAGTTTAATAGCCGCTTTCACACCAAGTACTTTGCCGCACTTAGTTCCCAGCACTTAGTGCCCCCATGGAACTAAGGGCCGATCGCGTTCACACCGGAATAAATCCCTGAAGGAAGATTACGCAAATGAAGCCGCTGACGTCACTTCTTCTTCTTTGGGTTTACTGGCAGGCCGCAAACAACTTCACGGCGTATACTGCCACTCGAAGTCCCCGGCCGGAAGTCCCCAGAGTTGGGGACTGGCTTCAGTAGAAGCTGCTGGGACTCCCAGCAGCTTCTGCTGAAGCCTTCCAAGTAACGGCCCGTCCACACAGCGGCGTGCGTTTAAGCTTGGCGGTGGGCGTGTCTGAAGCTTGGGGAGTTCTCGCGAGCAACGCGACCAACAACTAATCACATGAATCTCCTGCCCCCGACATCCAGTTTATGAAGTAAACTATATATAAACTCCCCAAACAGGCGAAAACCTACCAGTTTCACCCACTATCTCTACCACCTCCTTCCATGCCTGGCTCCTCCGGTTTGTATCCCGGTAGGTGAACAGGGACTGATCGTACAAGACCGGGTGATTCCCTACCGCTACGATTAATTTCTCCTCCATTTTTTGGAATATGAGGAAATGACCTGCACTGGCAAATTTGCATAAACGGGATTTGATTGGCTGACGCTTCCACCGAAGCTTCAGAAGCTTCAAAGGTTGAACATTGCTCAACTTTTGCAGCGAGCCACGCCAGCAAAGCTCCGCTTCGCTTCCCACAATGCAGTTCGGCGAAAAGTGACGTCACCCCATTCAAAGTGAATGGTGAAGCTTTCAACGCACGCCGCTGCGTGGACGGGCCATTAAATCGCCAGAACACCGACACCTCCTCATCTCCACCGCTCCCATGTTTTCTTTTGTGTTGCCAGAAGTTAGTCTCTCTCCGTTGGTGCGCGGGGCTAATGCTAATGCTAATAATGCTAATGCCACAAATACAATGGCGGCTTCACAAAACTTTTCAGAGTTTTACGGGGCGTGGCTTGCAATTGGCCCAGCCAATAGAAACTGGTACTTTTTTGGTACTTTGTTGGTACCACCTCTCTAGCAGGCACTAAAAATGGGGGTAAAAATTCCCGGCACTAAGTACTCTTTTTGGTGTGAACGCAACAGAAGGGGTACTAATGGATCTAAACGGGAAAAGTACGGGGAAAAGTACTCCGGTGTGAACGCGCCTAATGCTCATCCTAATAAAGAATAAGAATAAGGGTGGAATTCAATGAGGATGTATTCTTTTTTTAAGGAGTTAGAATGAGAGGATGAAACCCTCTTTAATGGTCACACACAGCACACACAATGAAATGTGGACTCTGCATTTAACCCATCGTAGTACTAGGAGCATGTTTTGTCAATTAATATAGATTGTTTATGTGATTTCACATTAATCAAGGCTAAGGAATGTACGATCAGGTGTGAGTGTATCCTTCCGCATTTAACAACTGGACACATCAGCTATATATTATTTGTGCACTTTTATGACTGTATGCTCAAGGACCTCTTGTTGTTTTGGTGACTCACAGTTTTTTACCGCCATTGGTTGATGATTACTCATTCCTCTTTAACAACTGGAGGATGTCGCAAGTTATCAACAACTGCTTCAGTAACAAAAGGCATTTAAGGCTACCAGCTCGGCTAAAAGCAAACATTACCTAGTGTTTTGAAGGGTACATTGTGGCTCAATAAAACAGACAAATGTGGCCTTATTTTAAACATTGGAATCTGCTTATTAGATCCATACCCGATATGTCATGATCAACTACAGTTGCGCATAATGTTTCTCTCAGTGATTGTACTGTCATGTTAAATGTTTGTTTTTCATGTATTGCGTCTTCATATTTGTCTGTGTTGATGTTACACATGGAGCTGCTGTGATTCAAGTCACATTTCAGACTTGATCTGACCATTAAAGTATTATCGTATCGTATAATATTAGATGACTAAATCATGGTTTGTAATCTTCGCTGTTGATCGCCAGCTCAACTGTTAGGGAGCTAAGAAGGACAATTTAGCGAGACTCAAGGAGATACACCTCTAATAAGTGACCGTTTCTAGATTTGTAACTATGCCATGGAGAGATTTCTATATTCTTTTGGTCACCTTTTCGTCTGTGTCCAGCAGAAAGCGCAGCAGCTGGTGGTCCTGAGGCTCTCTGGATCCGGCCTTAGCTGCGTTCAGAGCCGGGCTGGCAGGCGGCTCCTTCTTGATCTCAACGTCGTTTTTGTTCAGTCCTTCCTCCGTGGAGGCGTCGCTGGGACTGGTGTCCTGGAGCAGCCGGTGCAGGATCTTGTGTCGCTCCGTCAGAGTGCTGTGGGACGCCGGGCACTGCGGGGCGGAGGGGGGCAGGTTCGGAGGATGAGGTGATGCGGTGCGATGGATTCTGTTGTTGTTGTTGTTGTTGTTACTGGACTCAGCTCTCATCCCATTGCTGTCCAGGAGCTGATTGAGTCTGGAGTTTCCCAGTAGTGAGGCAGAAGGAAGGGGGGCTTTAACATAGTCCTCTCCCCATCTTTCTCCTCCTTCTGGTTTTGCAGATGAAGAGCCGGTGGGTGTACTGGCTTGTCTCTGAAGAACCGGAGAGGACATGGAGAAGCTTGACCCCCCGCTACTCCCATCCACTGGAGATTGGAGGCCCGGCGTGGAAGGAGAGAAGGGGTTCCCCGGTACTCGAGGGCTCCCTCCTGACCCAGGACTGCCCCGTTGCATCCTGGGTGACATAAAAGAGGTAGGGGTGGTTGTGAGAGGGCTAATCAGAGGGGAGGGGCTGCTGACCTGTTGAGGACAGGTCCGATTGGGCGTCAGGTAGCCTGCGGGTGTGGTGGGGCTGTGTCCGTGGGGGGAGGGGGACGTGTTGGTGTTGTTGTTGGGGGGTTGGAGGCTGGAGGCGGCGAGGCCTGAGGTCCAGTTGCTGCCGGGAGGAGGGAGGGACGGGGTCTGGGGGATTAGGCTGCCGGGGGTCGTTGGAAGGCTGGGGTTAGTGTTTTCCTGAGAGCTAGCAGTGTTGTGTTCCCTGGAGGAGAAGAAGGGGAGGATTAAAGATCACTGTCACCTGAAGAGAGCATGTGATAGAGGAAAAAGTGCTAGAAAATAGGGTTGGACGGCTAATATTGTTTATATATTGTTGTCAAAATGGCAAAAACCTAGAGAAAACTGGGTGAAACTAGATTTTTTTGGGTATGTTTAAAGAGAGAGACTGATATAATATATCCCTGTGTCTCCTATCTATTGTTTTTAGCTACTCCAAGACAGAAAAAGGCAATCATAATCATAAAATAACTAACTATATGTAACAAATTAAGGCTTTAATGTAATGGGTTTTTATTGTAATTCCAGTGTCGAATTGCGCGATGAATACATTGCAAAAACTCATATAGAGCAGGAATTATTTTTGTTAAGAGAGTATCAGGGTCCCATCTTGAGTTACAAAAAAAAGCCTTAAAAATAGTCATAATTTGTTTTATTAATGCCTTTTGTGTTCAACTCAATGTTCAATTTGTTAAATATAACAAAATAATTTCATTTATTTTATTTTATTAAGAAACATTAATTTGTTTTTTGAAGATTATCCTGAAAGTAGAAATATGGCAATAACACTTTAACATCTGTTTAATTTTCGCAAGTTATATAACTAGCTATATTTAGCAGTGTTGTTGCATATTGTATATTCTCCTCAGATCATGCAGCCTTTTGATAAAACGTTTTGTTGTTTGTAATCGTACCTGTCAATAGTGTGGATGCCCATAATGAAGGGCTGAACATCAGGGTTGGGGGGGCAGCAGAACTTGCAGCGGGTCTGAGCGCTGAGCGGGGTCCCATCACTTAACGTGAACCGGTACAACGGGCTGATTGCGGTGCCGTGGGTCATCACTGATGGGGAACACACACACACACACACACACACACACACACACACACACACACACACACACACACACACACACACACACACACACACACACACACACACACACACACACACACACACACACACACACACACACACACACACACACACACACACACACACACACACACACACACACACACACACACACACACACACACACACACACACACACACACACACACACACACACACACACACACAGGTTTAGACTTTGGTCTCATCTCTTGTTTGTTTTCCTGTTTTTACCCTTTATCCTATTAACAACAAGCATTGAGTTTATATGTAAGGTCATGACGTCATTATCACCTTGTAGCACAAAAAGAACACAAGGTTTGTACTTAAAACAGCTTACCTAGAAGGTCATTTTTCCAACAGTGCAGAAAAACACTAGCATTCAATGCTTCTCCTGAGTCTACCACATTGCTTCACTTTAGTTTGGATTAAGTGGATCCATATATGCCAACATTAGAAAACACAGGATTTGTTTTATATCAACTGCAGTTCATCTGCTAGCTTTTAGAAAGACAAAGAATGAATTCAAGATGTGTCGCCCTGGTGTTAACACTTACAATAAGCATCTCCATTTGGACACATTTGTAGACAAAAAACAACGAAACAGACATTTTACATAAGACTACAATCACTGAAGACAATCTATTCAACAGCCTTTAACATACATTAGATCTGAGATTAGACTCGCGTGTTTAAATGTAGGATTAACTGATGCAAACATGTGTGCTTCAGTCTTATCTCATCTCAATTTCAAGTTAATGTCTGACATTTGATGCTTTCAGCTTCTGATGTGAGATTACTTGTTGACATGATTAGTAAATGAAGTATTTTGTGGGTTTGCTGGTCAGTCAAAACTTTTTTTTACGGTTCAACGAGAGCTCTAAGAAATGGTTTTAGCATATTGTTCCGACGTCTCATAAACCAAACAATCAATCCATCTATTAAGTCATAAATAGTTTCAAGACAGAGTCTGAACTTCTCTCTTTTCTGACCCCTTACTCTTGTTGCATTTAGAATACTTACTGTGTTTTCCACTAGATAAATCTGCATATAAATCACACTATCTCTAAGGTTTTGCAGATGAACTGTCTTGCTCAACACTTCCCCTGCAGGTATGCAAAGTTATTCAAATGTGGTATTTTAAATCGATCTGTTATAATGGTATAGGAGTAGTTGCTGAGCTCTGGTGAAGCTGTCAGTGTGAATCAATGACTTCTGGGAGTGCAGCTGGACGATCGATGGCTGCTGCTCACCCTCATGCAGCAGCTTCTTGGCGTGGGAGGACTCTTTGCCCTGCGGCTGAAAGAAAGCGTAGATGCACTTCCTGACCAGATCCTCCCAGCCCGGGCGGCCCGTCGCTCGCAAAGCACTGGTTTCTATGGAGATGATCTTCCCTAAAAGGAGAGCAACGCACAACACACACACACTCGGTCAGTCTACACACTTTTCGACATTTAAGATCACGCATTCAGGTTCAACACTGTGACCCGTTTGAAAAAGTGATTTAGAGTAAGAACTTTGTTAAAAGACTGGAAAAGGAATGAGGTTTTTTTAATACAATATTGTGACAAAAAACACGTGACAGGAAAGAAGAGATGAGTTATTATAGTTATTACAAATAAGCAGTTTCAATGCAGCAGCTTTACAGTACTTAGTTTGGACTTTATTTATTTTGTATATCATTTTTATGGTGTTTATTTTCTATAAAGCGCCTGTAAGAGCTGTGGAAAGCGTTATATACCTGCCATGTTTTTAATTAGTTTACTGAAGATGCTCAGGTTGAGGAGGATCCGCTCTAAACTCTCTAACCCTGAAAACAACCTTGTAAGAATTATTCCTGCGTGTTTTACAGTCATTCCCCTCAGGTGTGATAACATTATACTCACTGGCCACACGGCTTACATAGAGTCCAGTTCAAGAGAGCAGCAGTTTCTATAGGAGTTGATTGACAATCAAAACACATCTATGGCTACAAAAACTAACATTTCTCCATTAATATCTCAATGGTTTCCTCTTAAAACTGAAAAACATCCACCTGAGTTTCCCATTTATTTTAAGGGTCCAACCTACAGTCAAAAACATATACAGTAAACCATCATGGATATAAAAGATAATCAGTCAATATTCACATGAGGCTGAAAACAGTTTATTTTACCAAGTTTCCTTAGAAAATGTCTTTATAATAAATCACAGGAGTAGTCTTCAGCTCTTTCCTAAATGTATGATGTAATGTACAATCTAATTCCAGTGCATGCCAGCGATAAAATGACTCTTGGGAGTCCTGACTATTAAACATGTGTGTGTGTGTGTGTGTGTGTGTGTGTGTGTGTGTGTGTGTGTGTGTGTGTGTGTGTGTGTGTGTGTTACCTGTGGGGTCCTGCTTGGTGATGAAGGACTCAGTGCTGAAAGGCTGGGTGCGAGGAATCCGGCAGGCAATACATATGAGGCAGCTCTGCAGGTCTGAGGGAAGAGAGGACACAAGTGATGAGTGTGTGTGTGTGTGTGTGTGTGTGTGTGTGTGTGTGTGAGAGAGAGAGTGTGTGTGTGAGAGAGTGTGACTGGAATACATGTTTTAATCCTTTCGTATTTATATACATAGAGACTGATACGACTATGTATAAATCTTTCATATTGATTTCAGTTTGTGTGTGTGGTGTGTGTGTGTGTGCGTGTGCGTGTGCGTGTGTGTGTGTGCGTGTGTGTGTGTGTGTGTGTGTGTGTGTGTGTGTGTGTGTGTGTGTGTGCATGTACCCTCTCCCTCCTCCTGCATGCTCCGTGGTTGGGACACGGTGAAGCACTGCATGATCTCGTACTGCTGCCGAGCCTCCGTGTTCTCTGCATCCAGCTCGTCAGGCGGCCTCTTCAGCATGCGACAGTTGAAGGTGTGGCTGTTCCTCCGGGCAGAATCCTGCGGCCACGGCACACCATTCACTGCACACACACACACACACACACACACACACACACATTTTTAATACTTTTTAAGACCCCGCGGACACCCTGTCCACTTCCCTAAGATTAACATTATCTTGGGGAAGAAAGTCATTGTGTCACACATACGCTGCATCTCTGATCTGACAGTTATTCCCTCTTTTAGCACAATGTGCAGCTTTGAGAAACTGTGCTAATTTAAGATTTCCATGGTTTGTCACTCAGCCTTTCTTTGTTGCTATTCAAAAGCACTTTAGCTGCAGTACTTTCCACCAGTACCAAGTTAATTATCTGGGTTAAAGACTGTGTTCTGAGTTAGCTGCCAGAACTCATCTCCTTAATGGGTTTTATTGGCGTGGAAACTGTCACATTTGAAGATACTGAAAATGCAATCACAGATTTAAAAAAAAAAAAAAACATTAACAAGGGAGGCTGTGGCTCAGTGGGTAGTGTGCTAGATAGTGTGCTGGGTAGTGTGCTGGATAGTGTGCTGGGTAGTGTGCTGGATAGTGTGCTAGATAGTGTGCTGGATAGTGTGCTGGGTAGTGTGCTGGATAGTGTGCTGGATAGTGTGCTGGGTAGTGTGGTGGGTAGTGTGCTGGATAGTGTGCTGGATAGTGTGCTGGATAGTGTGCTGGGTAGTGTGCTGGGTAGTGTGCTGGGTAGTGTGCTGGATAGTGTGCTGGGTAGTGTGCTGGGTAGTGTGCTGGATAGTGTGCTGGGTAGTGTGCTGGATAGTGTGCTGGGTAGTGTGCTGGATAGTGTGCTGGGTAGTGTGCTGGATAGTGTGCTGGATAGTGTGCTGGATAGTGTGCTGGATAGTGTGCTGGGTAGTGTGCTGGATAGTGTGCTGGGTAGTGTGCTGGGTAGTGTGCTGGATAGTGTGCTGGGTAGTGTGCTGGATAGTGTGCTGGGTAGTGTGCTGGATAGTGTGCTGGGTAGTGTGCTGGATAGTGTGCTGGATAGTGTGCTGGATAGTGTGCTGGGTAGTGTGCTGGATAGTGTGCTGGATAGTGTGCTGGGTAGTGTGCTGGGTAGTGTGCTGGATAGTGTGCTGGATAGTGTGCTGGGTAGTGTGCTGGATAGTGTGCTGGGTAGTGTTCTGGATAGTGTGCTGGGTAGTGTGCTGGATAGTGTGCTGGGTAGTGTGCTGGATAGTGTGCTGGATAGTGTGCTGGATAGTGTGCTGGGTAGTGTGCTGGATAGTGTGCTGGATAGTGTGCTGGGTAGTGTGCTGGGTAGTGTGCTGGGTAGTGCGCTGGATAGTGCGCTGGATAGTGCGCTGGGTAGTGCGCTGGATAGTGCGCTGGGTAGTGCGCTGGATAGTGCGCTGGGTAGTGCGCTGGGTAGTGCGCTGGATAGTGCGCTAGATAGTGCGCTAGGTAGTGTGCTGGGTAGTGTGCTGGGTAGTGTGCTGGATAGTGCGCTGGGTAGTGTGCTAGATAGTGTGCTGGGTAGTGCGCTGGATAGTGCGCTGGATAGTGCGCTGGGTAGTGCGCTGGGTAGTGCGCTGGGTAGTGCGCTGGGTAGTGCGCTGGGTAGTGCGCTGGATAGTGCTGGGTAGTGTGCTAGATAGTGTGCTGGGTAGTGTGCTGGGTAGTGTGCTGGATAGTGTGCTGGATAGTGTGCTGGGTAGTGTGCTGGATAGTGTGCTGGATAGTGTGCTGGGTAGTGTGCTGGATAGTGTGCTGGATAGTGTGCTGGATAGTGTGCTGGGTAGTGTGCTGGGTAGTGTGCTGAATAGTGTGCTGGATAGTGTGCTAGATAGTGTGCTGGGTAGTGTGCTGGATAGTGTGCTGGATAGTGTGGTGGATAGTGTGCTGGATAGTGTGCTGGATAGTGTGCTGGATAGTGTGCTGGGTAGTGTGCTGGGTAGTGTGCTGGATAGTGTGCTAGATAGTGTGCTAGATAGTGTGCTGGGTAGTGTGCTGGGTAGTGTGCTGGATAGTGTGCTGGATAGTGTGCTGGGTAGTGTGCTGGATAGTGTGCTGGGTAGTGTGCTGGATAGTGTGCTGAATAGTGTGCTGGATAGTGTGCTAGATAGTGTGCTGGGTAGTGTGCTGGATAGTGTGGTGGATAGTGTGCTAGATAGTGTGCTGGATAGTGTGCTGGGTAGTGTGCTGGATAGTGTGGTGGATAGTGTGCTAGATAGTGTGCTGGATAGTGTGCTGGGTAGTGTGCTGGATAGTGTGGTGGATAGTGTGCTGGGTAGTGTGCTGGATAGTGTGCTGGATAGTGTGCTGGGTAGTGTGCTGGATAGTGTGCTGGGTAGTGTGCTGGATAGTGTGCTGGGTAGTGTGCTGGGTAGTGTGCTGGATAGTGTGCTGGATAGTGTGCTGGATAGTGTGCTGGATAGTGTGCTAGATAGTGTGCTGGGTAGTGTGCTGGATAGTGTGCTAGATAGTGTGCTGGGTAGTGTGCTGGATAGTGTGCTGGGTAGTGTGCTGGATAGTGTGCTGGGTAGTGTGCTGGGTAGTGTGCTGGGTAGTGTGCTGGGTAGTCTGCAGTCAGCATGTCGTTGTGTCCCTGAGACACTTCACCCCAAATTGCTCCTGTGGGGATTGTCCACAGTACTGAGTATGTAAGTCGCTTTTGATAAAAGCGTCTAACAAGTAACATGTAATGTAAAAACGACTGGCATCTTAAACCTTGAATATAAAGCAAGGGTGTCCAAACTACGGTCCGGGGGGCAAATGTGGCCTACGGACTATTTTGAACCGGCCCTCAGCAAATTAAAAAAGTATAATGTGAAATGTGAAAATTAAACTTGTGCTTGTCTTATATTGTACTTCTTAAATGTATATGTAAAAATATATTACACAGTATTATTCATGTGTTAATAAGACCACTTTTCAAATAAATTCTGTCAATTCAAGGGGGAAATATTTTCTAACATATCTTAGTTGAAATAAACCCTTCCTATTTCTCCTTAAGACAATCAATCTTCTGTTTTAAGGAATGAGCTGCCAACAAAATAAAGTAAACCCTATGGAGATCTGTGATATAGGATGTTTTCAAGTATCAAGCATAATGTACCTACATTTGATTCATTTAGCGAACTTATAACTGAACGTATGAGGCAATATACCTCTAGTGAGTGGCCCAGCCTAGGGCTGTGCGATTATGGCAAAAATCATAATCACGATTATTTGGGTCAATAATTGATATCACGATTATTTTGACGATTATTCATTGACCATTTATTGAACTTTAAAACAAATAATATTTTACCAATAAACAAGATCAACAAATATGTTGGAGCACACTTCCAAAACCATACTAAACATATATTATTAATATGATAAATAAAAATAAATTAGACCAAAATAAATGAAATCAAATATGTTGCAGTGCACTGTCACAACCTACTGAAAACTCCTTAACATATAGCCAACATTTTGGTGAAACATATTCATTATTCCACTCAGTTAAACGTTGAAGGCTGGCCAACCGTCATGGTCCAGAAGTAACAGGAAATAAATGTTGAACTACAATTTAAGACCAAATACAAATGTTTAGGCCACCATGGTCACACCATGCTGGTAGGGCTGCTCATGTCATCTCTTAAAGATTGTTCGCAAGAAACACCAGCCTGTTTACATGGTCTGGTTTCAGAGATGAGCGCAGGCAGGTGACGATATTGCCACCTGTACTGAAGACCCTCAGCCACGCCCCGACACAGGGGTGACGCCGGCCAATCACAAAGCTTTGATGCATTCAAGTGCATTATTCTGGCACAGGAAGATTATGTTACAGGACATTAACGATAAAACAGAATATTGTTGTTCTATTTTTAGACACATCTCGCGATCGACTGGTTGGGCACCCCTGGGCTAGACCATAGGTCCGTTGTGGTGGAAAAGTAGTCAGCTGAAGCCACATCTCTCTCAACTTCCCCACGGCATTTGTCATATAGCGCAGGCAGCGCAGACCTGCTGAAATAATACCGAGACGGCATCGCGTAACGCTTGTCCAACGTGTTGACAAGTTGCTTAAAGCCCTGGTTGCTAACAGTGCTAACTGGGCACATATCTTTAGCGATGTGAAATGTAATGGCACCTGTAATATCTCTGTGTCTCTGCGAGCTCGTCGCGTAGGCCGTTGCTCTGTACAATGCGTCCTGAATCGATGACTGTGATGATGTTGTGGATGAAGTCGAGCGGCATCTGCTTTTTGGTCTGCTTTTTGTTGTATTATTGCCCAGTCGTATTGCACTTTGTGGTTGTATTTCAGATGATTAAAGAGATTGGTTGTGTTAGCGTGTGGTGCCAACACAAACTGGTAACAAATCCTGCACTGTAGGCCTACTTTCTTTTGCTCCAGGTCGGACTCCTGAAAGCCAAAGTACTTCCAAATAGTGGAAATAGTTGTACCCTTCTTTTTAACGAGTTGCTGCTCTTGTTCTGACATCTGCGCTTGCGCTGAACACTCACAACACATATCACTACTACGTGGCCGAGTGGGCTTTTAGGGAGGGGTGAAGCGCACCCAGCAAAATAATCGTATTTTGTCAATTATGCTGTTTTCATAATCGTCGCAAACCATAATCGTAATCGCGATTAAAATACAATTAATTGCACAGCCCTAGCCCAGCCCTTTGTATATTTTTCTCTCGGTGAACAAAGTTTGGACACCCCGGATATAAAGCATTAGCGAGCAGACCCAGCTCACTCACAGGGCGACTGCGGCCGCGACTGTGGCTGCGACTGCGACTGCGGCTGCGACTGTGGCTGCGACTGCGACTGTGACTGCGACTGTGGCTGCGCGGGCGTCTTTCAACCAGAAGGTTGTGGGTTCGATCCCAGCCCGTGCAGCCAACATGTCGATGTATCCTTGGGCAAGATACTTAACCCTGAGTTGCTCCCGATGGCCAACGGTGTGTGAATGTGTGTGAATGTTAGGTCCTAGAGTAAGGTACACTGCTCTGTATGAATGGGTGTGAATGGGTGAACGACATGTAGTATGTAAAGCGCTTTGAGGGGTCTTAAAGACTGGATAAAGCGCTATATAAGTACAGTCCATTTACTCACCCAGGCTTTTGGGCAGCAGATTGCGAACAAATTCATTGTGGTCTCCCACGTGGAGGATGCTGTAGACGCTGGAGGTCATCAGCTCCCCCTGCGCGTATCCGAGGTAGCTCGTCACGTTCTCCGACACAAAGACGATGCGGCCCTCCCGGTTTACGACGAAGAAAAACCCATCGAGGGCCTGAATGAGGAGACAAAGAGGAGGAAACTGTGGTGTCAAATGATCATATAATCATTTAAAACATATAGTCTCATACTCTGTTTTCCTTTTACACTGTTACATTGTATTTGTAGTCTTGTATGTGTTTAACAGAGACATGTGTTAAGGATTTACATTGCAGGAGGGCAAAAGGAAGTAAAAGGGGGATTTGCAAAAGGTTAAGGACGAGGGGGTTTAATGGTTTAATGGTGGGGATGTTTAATAATAATAATAATAGATTTAATTTGTTAGCGCTTTTACAGGTGCTCAAAGACGCTTTACAGATATAGTGAAGGGAAAAGAAAAGGAAGGAACAACAAATCAATATAAAGTTAAAGTTAAAGTCAAATAATACAAAAACAATCACACATTAAAAGCCAGATTGAAGAGGTGAGTTTTTGTGAGTGTTTTGAAGGTGGTGAGGTCAGTGCAGTCTCTGATGGGTTGGGGGAGTGAGTTCCAGAGGGAGGGGGCAGCGACGGAGAAGGCTCTGTCCCCCCAGGTCCGGTGATTGGTGCGGGTGGGGATGGATAGGAGGTTGGCTTCTGATGAGCGGAGGCAGCGGGAAGGGGCGTGGTGGTGCAGCAGGTCTGTGAGGTAGGGGGGGGGCCTGATTGTTGAGGGCTTTGTGACTAATGAGGAGGTCTTTGAAGTTGATTCTTTGACGGACGGGGAGCCAGTGGAGGTTCTGGAGGACGGGAGTGATGTGGTCTCGGGAGCGGGTGTGGGTGAGGAGGCGGGCAGCAGAGTTCTGGATATGTTGGAGTTTATTGATTAGGTTGGATGGTATGCCGTAGAGGACGCTATTGCAGTAGTCGAGTCGTGAAGTGATGAATGCATGAATCAGGGTCTCAGCAGGAGGAGAGTGATGGACGGAGACAGGCAATGTTTTTGAGGTGGAAAAAGGCGGTCCTGGTGATGTGATTTATGTGGTGGTTGAATTTGAGCTGACTGTCGAAGATGACTCCGAGGTTGCGGATGTGAGTGGGGGGGAGATAGGCTGTCAATGGTGAAGTTGACATTCTGGATGTCTTTGATTCGGGATGGGGGGCCGATGATGATGATGTCTGATTTGGCACTGTTCAGTTGGAGATAGTTTGTTTGCATCCATGCTTTTATTTCTGAGAGACAGTGGGTGAGAGTGGAGAGTGTTGTGGGGGTGATGGTTTTTGTTGAGATATAAAGTTGGATGTCATCGGCGTAGCAGTGAAATTGAAGGTTGTGGCGATGAATTATTTTGCCAAGGGGGAGCATGTAGAGGATGAAGAGGAGGGGGCCAAGCACCGAACCCTGGGGGACACCTTGGGACAGAGGAGCAGTGGAGGAGGTGCAGTTGTTGATGTTGATAAACTGATGTCTGTCGGTGAGGTAGGATTTCAGCCAGTAGAGTGCAGTGTCAGTGATGTTGAGTGATGATTCGAGGAGGGACAGCAGGATGGCGTGGTTGATGGTGTCGAATGCTGCGGTGAGGTCGAGGAGGATGAGGATGTTAAGGTTGCCGGAGTCAGAGGAGAGGAGGAGGTCGTTTTAGATGATGCCTAAGGGAATTTAAGGGTGGGACCAGGTGGATATTCTCTCTCTACTATAGAGTGAGACTGTAAGCTGTGTTCTGGGTGCAGAACGTCTCTATGCTCTGAGGATGAAGTAGCTCTGTTCCTACATTTGGGATCAATTTAACTTGTATATAGAGTGCCACAGCCTAAAACCCGGAAGTAAACTCCTTCTGGTTCCTTCGACAAAAAAGCAATGCAATTTCTCCATAGGGTTTAGGGAAATAGCTGGAAATCAGGTCTGTGGTTGAGACACATTTAAGAGACGGATCACGTTTTGTTCAGCCGGATAATCTCCACATGTCTATCCTACTTTTATCATTTTATAATCATAAATCTAGTCGCCAGAAACAAAATGCTAACGTTATGCTATAAAGGAACTACAGCAGGGTCGCTGCTTCAACGTCACGCCGACTTAAGATCCATATTCAAACACACAGATTCTAAATGGTACAAGTTGAAGTGTTTGTTTGAACAGTCTGCAGGAGGCAGGGACTTGCTTTCAAGCAGAACAGAAACTAACTTAGAGGAGTGTTTACGTGTTCGGCGTAATGACGTAAAACGGCCTCGACAACTTCTGTAGTCCTATTCAGCCACTTGTTAACAACCATCGTTTCTCAGACACGTCAACTCTTCAGAAATCACCAGTGGGGTCACTGCTGATGGATTTAATGTCGTAGAACAAAACGTGATCCGTCTCTTAAATGCGTCTCAACCACAGACCTTAGTTCCAGCTATTCTCCAAACCCTATGGAGAAATCTCATTGCTTTTTGTCGAAGGAACCGGAAGTGGTAAAATGCTAACTCACTTCCGGGTTTTAGGACTCGTCACTGCGACACTCCATTGACTTTCTTTATTACTTTATTAAATATAACAAAAGACAAACTTTGTCCATGAATCAGTTTCTCTTAAGAATTTCCTCCAGAAACCAGATTGTGTGAGTCGGAAATAAAACTCCCAGCAATGGAGGTGGAGGAAATGATTGTGTACGTGATGTTCACCTCTAGCAGCATGGGCCCCAGGGCCTCTTTCTCCACCAGACCCTGACTACTGGAGGAGATGTCGCTCTTCTGCACCTCATCATCTGGAGACAGAAGGGCTGCTTTCTCTGTCAGGGGGAAGGAAACACACGTTAGGAAACTGAATACACAGACATGGAAACTTCCTGTAATATCACTACTTACTTACACCCCCCCCCCTCCCCCCCACGAAAAAAGCGATTTATTACATGTCGGAGAGTTTAGCAAGTTTAGGAAACAAAATCTAGGTCGATGAGAAGCTGAGGTCGGCTTTAACTGACACGCAATCAAAATAAGAACATTCATGAGAACCAATATGTTGAACAAATCTTAAATAATTATGATCAAACTTATCAGCACAGCTACAACAAGTGTCAGTCAACGAAAACAGCAATCTGTTTCGATGATTAGAATAGGGAGAGATGAAACCCTCTTTAATGGTCACACACGCAGAGCACACACAGTGACATGTGTTCTCTGCTTTTAACCCATCCTAGTACCAGGAGTCTAGTCTAGGAGCAGTAGGCAGCTAGTGCACAGCGCCCGGGGAGCAATGGGAGTGTCCGGTGCCTTGCTCAAGGGCACCACGGCAGGAGGTAAACTGGGACCTCTCCAAGTAGCAGTCCACACTCCATATTTAAGTCTGTTCGGGGACTTGAACCGGTGACCCTACGGCTCCCAGTCCAAGCCCCTACTGACTGAGCCACTGCCGGATAATATTACATCAATACCAATTTTATTTCAGTACAATTCACCAGTTTCTCAAAAAGTGTGTGAATAGGGCGCATGGACTTGTGAGCAATCAATAATTAAACCTCACATTAGGCATAACGTTTATTTATTAAAAAACAGTTAAATCCTCTGAGAATCAATAAGGAAGTGTTTTATATTTTGGCTATTTCAAAAGAGATATACTTTCAAAACATGAATTTTAGAAAATCAGATGTGAGATTTGAATCAGATATTTGTCTCTAGTGGAGGTGAGAAGTGTTTACTCGTAAAAAACCTTCTCTTTAATATATATTTTCCTATTTAAATGAATATAACATCATAATATACACTTTTATTACAAGTGTACGTGTGGTGTGTATCTGTGTGTGTGTGTCTGTGTGTGTGTGTCTGTGTGTGTGTGTGTCCTCACCCAGCGCACGCCGCTTCATCAGCTGGATTTGGTCCACGGTGCTCTTGAGGATGTGGCACTTGTCGGGCTTGGCGCTGAGGCTGGCAATGTCGCTCATGTTAGACGACAGCAGCTCCGCCAGCTCCTCGATGTAGCGACACTCCAACTCCCGCCTCCGCTTCTCCACGCTGCGGAGATAACACACACACACACACACCACACACACACACACACACACACACACACACACACACACACACAACACACACACACCCACACACACACACACACACACACACACACACACACACACACACACACACACACACACACACACACACACACACACACGTGAGCTTCACACACGCAATGCGTTGCATAGTGACATCAATATATGTAACACTATTGGCTAGCTCTCCAACACATTGTGCTTGATATACTAAGAGGCTAATCTCTAAGTGGTTGACCAATCACAACAGAGCCGGCCAGCTAACCAATCAGAGCAGACTGGACTCTGGTTTCAGACAGAGGGTTAAAAGAGGTGCTGCAGCACAGGCAGTATGAGAAAAATAAAGAGCTTTTTGAACATTAAAGCATGGAGACATGTAGAGACACTACATACTGATATACACCTGAACATCATCAGGAGAGGACTCTTTAAAGTAGAGACACTACATACTGATATACACCTGAACATCAGCAGGAGAGGACTCTTTAAAGTAGAGACACTACATACTGATATACACCTGAACATCAGCAGGAGAGGACTCTTTAAAGTAGAGACACTACATACTGATATACACCTGAACATCAGCAGGAGAGGACTCTTTAAAGTAGAGACACTACATACTGATATACACCTGAACATCAGCAGGAGAGGACTCTTTAAAGTAGAGACACTACATACTGATATACACCTGAACATCAGCAGGAGAGGACTCTTTAAAGTAGAGACACTACATACTGATATACACCTGAACATCAGCAGGAGAGGACTCTTTAAAGTAGAGACACTACATACTGATATACACCTGAACATCAGCAGGAAAGGACTCTTTAAAGTAGAGACACTACATACTGATATACACCTGAACATCAACAGGAGAGGACTCTTTAAAGTAGAGACACTACATACTGATATACACCTGAACATCAGCAGGAGAGGACTCTTTAAAGTAGAGACACTACATACTGATATACACCTGAACATCAACAGGAGAGGACTCTTTAAAGTAGAGACACTACATACTGATATACACCTGAACATCAGCAGGAGAGGACTCTTTAAAGTAGAGACACTACATACTGATATACACCTGAACATCAACAGGAGAGGACTCTTTAAAGTAGAGGACACTACATACTGATATACACCTGAACATCAGCAGGAGAGGACTCTTTAAAGTAGAGACACTACATACTGATATACACCTGAACATCAGCAGGAGAGGACTCTTAAAGTAGAGACACCACATACTGATATACACCTGAACATCAGCAGGAGAGGACTCTTTAAAGTAGAGACACCACATACTGATATACACCTGAACATCAGCAGGAGAGCACTCTTTAAAGTAGAGACACTACATACTGATATACACCTGAACATCATCAGGAGAGGACTCTTTAAAGTAGAGACACTACATACTGATATACACCTGAACATCATCAGGAGAGGACTCTTTAAAGTAGAGACACTACATATTGATATACACCTGAACATCATCAGGAGAGGACTCTTTAAAGTAGAGACACTACATGCTGATATACACCTGAACATCAGCAGGAGAGGACTCTTTAAAGTAGAGACACTACATACTGATATACACCTGAACATCAGCAGGAGAGGACTCTTTAAAGTAGAGACACTACATACTGATATACACCTGACATCAGCAGGAGAGGACTCTTTAAAGTAGAGACACTACATACTGATATACACCTGAACATCAGCAGAGAGGACTCTTTAAAGTAGAGACACTACATACTGATATACACCTGAACATCAGCAGGAGAGGACTCTTTAAAGTAGAGACACTACATACTGATATACACCTGAACATCAGCAGGAGAGGACTCTTTAAAGTAGAGACACTACATACTGATATACACCTGAACATCAGCAGGAAAGGACTCTTTAAAGTAGAGACACTACATACTGATATACACCTGAACATCAACAGGAGAGGACTCTTTAAAGTAGAGACACTACATACTGATATACACCTGAACATCAGCAGGAGAGGACTCTTTAAAGTAGAGACACTACATACTGATATACACCTGAACATCACAGGAGAGGACTCTTTAAAGTAGAGACACTACATACTGATATACACCTGAACATCAGCAGGAGAGGACTCTTTAAAGTAGAGACACTACATACTGATATACACCTGAACATCAACAGGAGAGGACTCTTTAAAGTAGAGACACTACATACTGATATACACCTGAACATCAGCAGGAGAGGACTCTTTAAAGTAGAGACACTACATACTGATATACACCTGAACATCAGCAGGAGAGGAACTCTTTAAAGTAGAGGACACCACATACTGATATACACCTGAACATCAGCAGGAGAGGACTCTTTAAAGTAGGAGACACCACATACTGATATACACCTGAACATCAAGCAGGAGAGGACTCTTTAAAGTAGAGAAACACTACATACTGATATACAACCTGAACATCAGCAGGAGTGAGGAAATGTCGTTCTTTAAAGAGTAGAGACACTAGATACTGATATACACCTGAACTCAGCAGGAGAAGGAACTCTTTAAAGTAGAGACAAAACCACATACTGATATACACCTGAATCATATCAGTCAGGAGAGGACTCTTTAAGTACGAGACAGCTACATACTGATATACAACCTGAAACATCAGCAGGAGAGGGACTCTTAAAGTAGAGACACTACATACGGATATACACCTGAACATCCAACAGGAGAGGACTCTTTAAAGTAGAGAGACACTACATACTGATATACACCTGAACATCAGCAGGAGAGGACTCTTTAAAGTAGAGACACTACATACTGATATACACCTGAACATCAACAGGAGAGGACTCTTTAAAGTAGAGACACTACATACTGATATACACCCTGAACATCAGCAGGAGAGGACTCTTTAAAGTAGAGACACTACATACTGATATACACCTGAACATCAGCAGGAGAGGACTCTTTAAAGTAGAGACACTACATACTGATATACACCTGAACATCAGCAGGAGAGGACTCTTTAAAGTAGAGACACCACATACTGATATACACCTGACATCAGCAGGAGAGCACTCTTTAAAGTAGAGACACTACATACTGATATACACCTGAACATCATCAGGAGAGGACTCTTTAAAAGTAGAGACACTACATACTGATATACACCTGACATCATCAGGAGAGGACTCTTTAAAGTAGAGACACTACATTGATACACCTGAACAGTCAATCAGGAGAGGACTCTTAAAGTAGAAGACACTACATGCTGATAACACTAACATCACAGGAGAGGACTCTTTAAAGTAGAGACACTACATGCTGATATACACCTGAACATCAGCAGGAGAGGACTCTTTAAAGTAGAGACACTACATACTGATTACACCTGAACATCAGCAGAGAGGACTCTTTAAAGTAGAGACACTACATACTGATATACACCTGAACATCAGCAGGAGAGGACTCTTTAAAGTAGACACTACATACTGAATATACACCTGAACATCAGCAGGAGAGGACTCTTTAAAGTAGAGAACTACATACTGATATACACCTGAACATCAGCAGGAGAGGACTCTTTAAAGTAGAGACACTACATACTGATATACAACCTGAACCATCAGGAGAGGACTCTTTAAAGTAGAGACACTACATACTGATATACACCTGAACATCAGCAGGAAAGGACTCTTATAAAGTAGAGACACTACATACTGATATACACCTGAAATCAGGAGAGACTCTTTAAAGTAGAGCCACTACATCTGATACACCTGAACATCATCAGGAGAGGACTCTTTAAAGTAGAGACACTACATACTGATATACACCTGAACATCAACAGGAGAGGCCTCTTTAAAGTAGAGACACTACATACTGATATACACCTGAACATCAGCAGGAGAGACTCTTAAAGTAGAGACACTACATACTGATATACACCTGAACATCAACAGGAGAGGACTCTTTAAAGTAGATACACTACATACTGATATACACCTGAACATCAGCAGGAGAGGACTCTTTAAAGTAGAGACACTACATACTGATATACACCTGAACATCAACAGGAGAGGACTCTTTAAAGTAGAGACACTACATACTGATATACACCTGAACATCAGCAGGAGAGGACTCTTTAAAGTAGAGACACCACATACTGATATACACCTGAACATCAGCAGGAGAGGACTCTTTAAAGTAGAGACACTATGTACTGATATGAAGCTGAAAATGAGCAGAATAGGGCCCCTTTAACTTAAAACATTTGAACATCTGATCACAACAGTTTGTTACTTTTTTCAAACAACAGGTAGTTTAAATCACCAGAGTTGGAAACTTTAACATTACAATGTGCTGAAAAGTGCGGTGGGTTTTTCAGCCAGCTGCCTGTAATGTGTTTCTGAAATATGTAAACAAGAGACAGAACATAAAGAAATCTGCAGTTGATTTTAGTCAGACTCCTTCTTACGAGAAGTCTTTCAGAGTCCGAGCTACAGTAAGGTATGTGGTAAACATGAGAAACAGGAATGTGTGTATGGGAGTGTGTGTGTGTGTGTGTGTGTGTGTGTGTGTGTGTGTGTGTGTGTGTGTGTGTGTGTGTGTGTGTGTGTGTGTGTGTGTGTGTGTGCGACGACAACAGCAAAAGTAGGTCAGTGCATTGGTCGGCCAGAACACACAGGCTTGTGAATGCGCAGGTCTGAAGCTGTGTGTGTTTGCTGCAGAAATGCTAGCTGGACTGTTACATCTCTCTCTCTCTCACACACACACACACACACACACACACACACACACACACACACACACACACACACACACACACACACACACACACACACACACACACACACACACACACACACACACACACACACAACGAGCGGGATCTGATACTCTGATACTTGTTGTTTTGTAGCTTGTGCCTGGTTGTGTAACGCTGGTAATATACGCTCCAC